CAAATTATAGTACATTCACACAAGGAATACTGCGCAGCAGTATAAATAGATAAATAAGTTATTTTTATGCCATTGTATAAAATGTGTTGTATCATGCGTGAAATGCGTGTAGTGAAAAAGGTGGAGAATTGTGTAAGTGCTTCCTTTTGTATGTTGTTGTTGTGTGCTGTTGAGTCAATTCCAACTCACAGCAACTCTATACAACAGAATAGAATTGCCCCTTAGGGTTTCCAAGACTGTAATCTTTACAGGAGCAGATTGCCAGGTCTTTTCTCCCACGGAGCAGCTGGTGGGTTGGAAATGCTGACCTTTTGGTTAGCAGCCAAGTGTTTAACCACTGCACCACCAGGGCTCCTTTCCTTTTGTATGAACGGGTCAAAATAAGAATCTATATTTAGGTTTGCTTACATATGCATAAACAAAGCCTGAAAGGATTCATAAGAAAGTGAGAAACTGGAAACTGGACCGATAAAGGACAAGAATTTGAAGATTTTGTATTATGTACCTTTTATATAACTTCTAGTATTTGAACCATGTGACGGCACTATTTAAAAATGAAATGACAAAAAGTTAGAGGAGTGAAGCAGAGTTCCTGGATTGAGAGACTTTATTTAATTGACCTCTTTACCCTTTATAGGGTCGCTGTGAGACAGAATCGATTAGACGGCAAAGGGTTTTACCCTTTATAACCTCCATTCCCTTAATCCCTGGGGCTAAATTCCTCCGCTTTCTTTTTATCTTTGGGCAAGAGTGAATTTCAAAAGAAGCCCTGGTGGTACAGTCACTAAAGCAGCTTGGCTGCTAACCCAAAGGTCAATGGTTCAAATCCACCAGCTACTCTCAGTTGAAAGATGTGGCAGTCTGCTTCCGTAAAGACTGCAGTGTTGGAAACCCTATGGGGTAGTTCTATGAGTTGGAATTGACTTGATGGCAATGGATGGAGTCAGGTTCAACCCACAAGAGATATTTATTAGATACGTTTAAATTACAGAGAACAGTGCTATGTACTGGGTTCCCAAGAGAAAAGAACAGGACATATAATCCCTGTTCTTGAAGTGGTCCAGGTGGATTTTAACACTCTTCTCGGTGGCTAGGACAGGAATAAAATTGTTCTCCTTTCTTTCCCACTTCTCACAATCTTGCAAAATGCTGGAAATATATTGGAATTCCTACTTAATTCTCCTCCCCCTCACTTGGAGAGCAGGAACTTTCCATCATGCCCAGACTGGAGAGATCTCAGGCCAGGGCCAAGACTCAGCCCACTTCTCTCAGGCCCCTGGCGCCTTGTCTGGGTTGTTGGACCTCATCTGCTACTGCGACTGTGGTTTCCTGCTTCCTGAGTTCTCACACTCAGCTTGGTGCTGCAGAGATCACACCGCAGTTCCTGCTTTGAGGACTGCCATGCTCAATCTTGGTGATACTCTGAGTTCGTGGTGTCTGGGGTTGAGAGTCACAGCTAAGGGGGTTACTTTTCTGCTCTAGTTTCCCCCCTTTTCCCTTGACAGACTCATTGTGAATGCCTTGGGGCTGCTTAAGGACAGAGTATAAAGGTTTACTGGATAGAAATTGAGAAAGCTCAATTCCCTAATTGAATACTCTATCTGGCTTTAGGGCTTTTGTTCTGCTTCTTATTAGCCAGGGGTGTTTTGAGTTCTCTAGACAATGAATCTAGTAAGAAAACAATGAGAATATCATTTGTATAGAGCTTTTCAGTTTACAACACATTTTCCCACCCATTAGTTAATTTAAATTTGACAATTCTGTGAGTAAGAGTAGGTATAATTCCATTTTACAGTCAGAGAAAACTGATGCTTAGTGAGGATAGGGACTCTTCCATGAAGTTATTAAATGCCTCTTGTGCTACTGGATAGATTATGTGAATACAGGATTTCATTTTGGAGCTATATAGTCTGGGATTATGGTTTTGATATAGTTAGATAACTAAGAGGAGAGAGTCTGCTCTCTGGAGTTGAAGCTGCTATTCACTTATTCATTCATTCTTTCATTCACAACTATTAGCTGAATGCCTATCATGTGCAAAGAAAGGCTCTGCCCAGGAAAGAATTGGAAGATTGAGAACAACTATTTATGAAATGCTGGGGGAACTCTTCAGGTGGAGAATGGATGCTGTTAAGGAGACAGTGGTAGGATCTGGGTTTCAGATGAGAACTTAGCAAATTGGAAATCTCTGTCTAGCAGCCAGTGAGTGTCTGGGTCAGGAGAAGCTGGCAAACATTTAATCAAAAAGAGTTTAGCTCCCAAGATACTTTATTCCTATCTGTATCAGGTTATTTTTGCCTGGCCGCTGTCGATCCCCTCCTCCCATTTTGGGGTGGGGGGGATACCCTTAAGGGCAAATTGTCTCTCTCTTCTCTTGACAGCCTGGACTCATTCATGTGACCTGAGATTGGCCAATCAACAGCAGCTGCTGGCCAGGACTTTGCCTCTTGAGTGAGTGACTCAAAGATGAAGGGATGTTAGACCTGAATCCCAGTAGTGGTGTCTGGTGCTGGAGGCAGCAGAGGCAGCTACTTCTTGCTTCTTGGCCCTCTGGAACTGCCCTCCTGTCCATTTGTTTGCCAAGCCTGCCCTCTCATTGACGCTCTGGGCCCCTGTCATGGATTGAATTATGTCCCCTCAAAATATTTGTTGACTGGCTAGGCCATGATTCCCAGTATTGTGTGATTATCCACCATTTTGTCATCTGATGTGATTTCCCTATGTGTTGTAAATCCTATCTCCATGATGCTGATGAGATGGGATTGGCAGCAGGTATGTTAATGAGCAGGACTCCACCTGCAAGATTAGATTTTGTCTTAAGTCAATCTCTTTTGAGACATAAAGAGAGAAGCAAGCAGAGAGACATGGGGACCTCATAGCACCAATAAAGCAGCACCAGGAGCAGAGCACATCCTTTGGACTTGGGGTCCTTGTGCTGAGAAGCTCCTTGATTGGGGAAGATTGATGAAAAGGACCTTCCTCCAGAGCTGACAGAAAAGAGAAAGACTTCCCCTGGAGGTGATACCCTGAATTTGGACTTGTAGTCTACTAGACTGAGAGAATAAACTTCTCTTCATTAAAGCCATATACTTGCAGTGTTTCTGTTATAGTAGCACTAGATGACTAAGACAGCCCCCAATATCATTGTAATATATTTCTCTCTCTCTCTCTTTTTATGATAGACAATGTTAGTGCTTGTACTTGAAACAGCCAGAAAGAATACTAACTTACAAATAGTGATGATTTCTTTACCAGGCTGTGAGCTCTTCCAGAGCAGAGCCTAAATCTAATTCTGCTTTGTGTCTTTGGTACTCATCTCATCCCTGGCTCTCAATACTTGCAGGACAAGTCAGTGAAGAACCAGATGTTATATCTGTGTGGGACTACAGGGTCTAGGATTCTTGGCATTACTGCAGTTGTGGGGCAAAAAATGCGCTCTATGCAACAACAGCCACTAGCATTTGAGCAATTTCATGTAATAAGCCCAGAGGATCCTGGGAAGGTCCTTTCTTCCTGTATTTAAGCACTTGTCTCAGTTCATGAAGGTGGTTCTGGTCCTCAGATTGCTAGAGCTTTTGTCCCTGGTTCCCAGTACCTCATCCTGAGGGCTGCTGTCTGCCCTGCCTGCCTCAGCTGAAAGTGCCCTCTTCAGTCTCCAGCCCTGATTTGGAAAGCACTTCCTCTATCAACTCAGATCATAGAAAAGAATCTATTAAATTTTTTCAGTAACATTTTCTTTTCTTTCATTCCTTCCACAGATACACATTGAACAACTACTATTTGGTAGGTTCTGACAATTCAGTAGTGAATGGGGAAGTATACAAACACAACCAAGAGAACAACAAGGACAAAAAAAATTATGAATTGTGTTAAGTGCTCTGTTGAAAACAACAATAAGGTAAGGGTAATTGCCTCAGGGGAGGCATGTGATCCAGTGGAGCACTTCTAGATAATGTGGCCAAAGAGGATCTCACTGAGGAGATGACACTTAAACTGAGATCAGCATGCTGAAGACGCAGTTTTGTAAACAGCAACAGCCTATGCAGTGGCCCAGAGGCTGGAAAGAGCTTGGAAAGAGTCATGGAAACTGAAAGTGTGGCCACAGGATGAGCAAGGTGGGAGGGACAGATGGAGAGACTGATAGGTTGTTTTAAGCAGGGCAGTGACATGATTACATTTTAAGAAGCACAATCTGGCTGCCCTGTCTTTCTAATATAACATAAACTCGCCTATTGCTCCCACAAACGACTAATGTTTAGCCTTTCTCCTTGGAACTTCTCAAATCCCACTGGAAAAACATCTTAGGCCATTCTAGGTTGGCTGCAACTCAGGCTTTGGCCTCAGTAGCAAAATACAGCTCCTCTCCTCAGTAGCAACTGGAATCCCTTCCTAGGAGTTAAAGAGGCATAGCAGGGGGTGGGAGGAACCTTGGCTTGTTTGCGGACTTGAAAGGCCCTGAGAACGTGGGGGAGCTGGATGAGTGAGGACTGCATAAGAGGCAGGTTAGGTCTAGGCTTGGAAAAGCCTGGTAGGCAGATAGGCTACAGTGAAGATTTAGACCTTAATCCAAAGAGCAGTGAGATACAGGTTTTGAGTTCTGAAAAGCTCCCAGTCTGTATGTGAAGAATGGATTCGAAGGGGAAAAAGTAATGGGTTCGAGGAGATCACTGTCATCTGGGAGAGAGTCATGGTGGCCTAGACCAGAGTAGTGGCACTGAGATGGAGAGAAGTGGGAGGTTTCGAGATGCATTAAGGAGGCAAAATTAACAGGTGATGGATAGTGTTCAGTCCTCGGCTTCGTGTGAGCTCAGTGATTATGCGCGAGCGGGGACTTCGTGTTCTGTAGCCGGGCCCGGGCCCTGTTCCCGCGCGTCAGGGCAGTGGGCGTGGCCCGCGCGAGCCGTCGCCACGGTGATCGAGTGGGGCGGGGCCGAGGGCGGGGCAGCTGGGTCGCTGCGTCACTCGGTGGTGGCGATGGTGCGTGTGGGGGGGGCGGGGGATACGCTGGGCGCGTCCCCGGGGTCACGTGGTGCGCAGCACGCAGAGTCCTTCTGTCGGTTGGTCCTGGAGCGGCGCAGCCGGAGCGGGGCTGTGAGGTGAGCTCGCGGCGAGGCGCGGCGAGGCGAAGCCGGCTGGCGGGGCCGGCTCGGGCCCGCGCCGTGCGCGCGCCGTGCAGGCGGGGACGGGGACGGTGACGGACGCCACCGCTGCTCAGGTCTCATGCCTAGCCCCACTCCCCACTTGGCCCCGCTCGCCCAGCCCGGAGGGAGGCCGGTGACCGCTGCAGAGAGCGTGGCGGGCGTGCGAGCGGTGCCCAATCCCCGGGGCTTCCCGCGGGAGTGACGGCGGCTGCGGCCAATCAGCGTCGCCCTAGGGGGCTGGGTCGCGGGGTGCGGGCCCGGGGCGCGGAGCGGGCCGTGTTGGGGGTGGGGGTAAGCGCTAGGGTTCTAGCCCGAGTCGTGCGGCCCGTAAGAGTCCCACTGCCAGCCCCTGTTCTTGCGTTGTGCTTTGGGAACGCGTTTTCTTTTATTGACTCTTATCCTATTCTGGGGAGCACACTCCTTTCTCAAACCCCCAATATAGGAGTGCCCCCTTTATAGTTTTAAAAATGTGGGCAGCGTACCTTCTTTTTTATTCTTCCTCCTTGGGGTATTATCTGCTTCCAAAGCTTCCCCAAACTGAGGGTGTACCCCCTTTTCCTAGCCTCCCCAAACGGGGAGCACAGTCCCATTCTTAAGCCTCGCAATCTGTGTATGCACTGCCTTTCAAATTTGCGGCTTCGCCTGGTTAATGAATCGCTCAAATCTGGGTCCAGTATCCAAAGTTTTGGGGTACTTTCTTATATTCCTATAAATCCAAGGAAGAATTGCTATCTCCATGCTTTCCGAGTGTTTAAATTTTGAGACCACTTCCTTTCCTCAGCCCTTCAAGTCTGAGGCTGTACCTCATGTCCACAGTCTGCCGAAAATGAAATCCAAATCTTGAAGTTTAGGAGCACTTATTTCCAGTTCCACAAAATCTAGGAATTCACTGCCTTTTCCAGTTACTCCATTCTTGGGCTTGCACCTTTTTCAAGAGTTCCCCAAATCAAGCTACCTTATTTTCTGGGGAGATTTATTTATTTTCGTATCTGAGAGTGTATTAGTTTCGTGTGCTCCCAAAATGTACGAAATGCACCTTTTTCCCTTATAGATGCTTTTTAAATCTGGGGGCACAGCTTTTTCATAAGTCCCCTCATTCCTGGGCGCTGGTCCATGGTCCTTGAGCATGTCTCCATTCCACAGTTTCCTACCCTTTTTAGCTCTTCTGCTATCCAAGGAAGACATTTTTATTCCGCAGTTTCCTTCCCTCTTTGGAACCAGATTTCCTTGTAGGTGCTCTCCCTGTCTGGTTGAGTGCACCCTGTTTCCTCTTCCTACTTCTGGTCAGTGCATATCTTTCTTCAGCATGCTAATTTGTGCTTCTGTGGCCCTTTTTTTGAGCACACTTCCTATAGTCACACCTCCTGAATTCTCCCTCTGAAGGGAGGACCCTGAAGATTGGATTTGGTACCCTAGCCTTTATCTTTCTGCTCTCTGTGTATTTATTTGGCTTGCCCTATCTCTTGGCATTTTTCTGGTTTCTAACTCCCTTTGAGCACTGCTTTGCTTACTGAGTGGCTGAAGAGATTTTCCCTTCTTTCCTCTTGCCGCTTGAGGTGGCCTCAAGTCCGGACTGTCTGGCCCCCCAGTGCTGAATTCAAAATGGAAAGGAATCCCTTGCATTTCTTTGGTTATCCACAGGGCTCTTAAAATACTCCTGGTGGCTTGCTTTCTATAAGATTCTGTTTAGGTGGATACTGTTTTCTTTTTTGGTTTATCTTTCTGCTGGGAAAAAACCTCAAGAGATTTTTCTAGTTCTGCTTTCAGCCCATAAGCTTCTTCCCTACATAACTTCTTCCTTTTATCAAAAAGAGAGGTCACTGGAGGAATCTCTTGGTCACTCTTTCCGTTCTTGTTCCAGGGGTGGGGGTGGGGGATGGATACTTTCTCTCCCTGGTCATGCTCTCACATAAACTGCCAAGCTTCCCCCTGACCACCTGCCCCACGCTCGCAAATTTAAAATCTGCAAATATCTTGCCTCTTGTCTCTTAAGAGCCTCTCAGTAGGTTCTTTCTTTTGCATTTCCCTCTCCCTTTCCAGATCTCGGAGCCCTGATGGCGCAGTGGTTAAGAACTCAGCTGGTAACCAAGAGGTTGGCAGTTTGAATCCACCAGCTGTGCTTTCGAAACCCTGTGGTGGGGCAGTTCTACTCTGTCCTTTAGGGTCACTATGAGTCGACTCAATGGCAACGGGTTTTTTTTTTTTTTTTTTGGTTTTCCAGATCTTACTCAGGGCTTCTCAACCTGAACCCCCAACCAGATTTATTTCTCCACAGCTGGAATTCCAAGTGCTTATGGGATGGTGACACCTCTGACCTTTCTCCCTCTTGGGAAGTACTTGAGTGTGCAGCTGTATGAGGCCTCAGTGGGGGAGCGAGTTGGGAACTGAGAAGCTGCACTGGCAGAACAAGGCAGGAAAATACTGCATTTTTAGGACCAAGTTCTTCTGAATGTTATTTGGAGATTGGATGTTTGCCAAGCACCTGCTTCTTAGGGATGCTGGGGGATTTAATGATACTCCCAGGAACCTGTAGGAATTAATGGGGCTTGTGGAGAAGTGCTCTGAACTGAGTGTTAGAACTTGAATAAAATTAACCATTATTGTATTTTCAGAGCAACTAAGCTGTTTTATATTTATTGTACATGAAAGCTCTAGAATTAAGTTGTGTTATTTCAGGAAGTGAAATGCATCCATCTCAAGTTTCGATCAAGTGATCGTTAGTAAATAGCAAATTCACGAAAAAATATTGGCGGTCCCTCTGAGCAGTACCTAATAAAATATAGTCTACAGAACATGAACAGGTACTTTGTCTCTTTATTTGCCTCTTTGTTACTTTTTCTCTGTGTTTATCTCTGTGTTGCTGAACACCAGTGCTTCTCAAACTGGACTGTGCATACAAATCACCTGTGGGGTTTTGTTACAATGCTGATTGTGATTTGCAGGTTTAAGGTAGGGCCCTAGTGGCATCCCAGGCAATGCTAATGATGCTGAACTATGCTTTGAGTAGTGAGGTTCTACACACGAGAGAAAGATTTCTCTGTAGAAATAGGAAGATGGTGGTAGGCCTTATACTACGATACCGTTTTCCATTTTCCCTTTATCCAGACAGTCATGCCTTAAAGTTTGTACAAGGCCATGGTCTCCTTTTGAGGACTGTTAATACTTAATTACAGTTAATCTTGCGTTAGCTTTTTAAACCGTGGCCCAGACTTTTCCAGGAGCTTCATTTCTATGTATATTGACAAATTTAAGTGCTTCAATATGTTCTTATTAAGTGTGAACATAATTCTTGACATAGAATTATTCTACTAAGTACTGCAGAGCTGATAGAATAATCACCAGCATGTCTCTGGTTCCTCACCTGTCAGCCTGCCACGGGTAGGGAGTTGGAGATACCACAAATCAGCAGGGTCACAGGTGTTGGTATTTCCAGGGAGTCCTTCTTGGTTTTCTGAATTCTGTAGATTGGCCTGCGGAAGGCCTGGGTAAAAGTAGTTGCCTGAAACTTGAATGGAAGCTGCTGGTTGTCCCTGTATGGGTGCTCCAGAAAGGCACATGCTGGTGGAAAGATGACATTCTTTGATGGAGATCATGGCTTGCAGTGCCCTTTCTCCTTTTGTACCTACACGTCTAAATCTATTCCTATGTCTGACTGGGTTTTTCCTTTCTAAATGTCTTACGTTATCTGTACCTATTTCCCTGACTGTCACCTGTCATGGCCCTTTTCCATTATGATACTATTCCAGGCCCAAATCAGGACAAACCTGAATGACTAGGCTGTTTTGTGCCCCCTCTGCCCCCCCCCCACCATCGGTCACATGAATGTCAGATCCTCGTCAGTAACTGATTTGATCTGTATTTGGCTCTAGTCCCAGCTCTTCCACTCACTGGCTAAGATACCTCAGGCAAGTGACTTAATGCTGCTGGGCCTAGTTCTCCCCATTTGCAAAATGAAGGGCTGATTATCTCCAAGGTCTGACCTGCTCTGAGTCTTTGTCAACCCAATGTCTGGGAGCTTGTTGTAGCAGATATGATTTCCTTCACGTGATCCTTTGGGCAGTCTGCCAGTCATTCCCTTGTCCGCGTCACTTCTGCCACTGTCTCTTTTCTATCCAAAGCAGCCAGCTTGTTCTCAAACCCAACTTCAGCATTCTTTTGCCTCCATGTTCTCTGCCAATGCCATGCTGTATTTAATTCAAAACTGCCTAAAATTCTCAAAAAAGTCTTCCTTGAGTTCTTCATTCAGTGTTAGCTATTTTCACCATCACTGAGAGGGAGGCTATAGCACACATACGACCATGTTTATTTGTAAATTTTCTTATTAGATATTATTTTTAAAATGTTTTCCCTGCCTGTTCACCCCAACATTCTATTTTGATTTGAATTACCAAGGCAGATGCATGAAATTTAAAGGTGAAGCATGTAGTTTGCCTTTGGCTAGAGTTTGGGGAAAGGGAGATTAATGCTTTTAGCCCCTTTCTCCCAAGATATCCCATATCTGTAGGGAATCAGCTAACTGTAACTTCTTCCTGCATTTAAAAAAACAGAGCAACTGATTGCTGATGAGTAGATTCTGACTCATGGCTACCCCATGTGTGTCAGAGTAGAACTGTGCTCCATAGGGTTTTCAGTGGCTAAATTTTTTGGAAGTGAATCACTGGGCCTTTCTTCTGAGGTGCCTTTGGGTGCCTTCCAGTTAGTAGCCAAGTGCGTTTACTGTTTATACCACCCAGGGACTCCCTTGGTTTTTAAAGGTACTTAAACTTCCAATCTGGAATTTGAAAGTTCATCCCAAGTATAAACAGCAGTTAACAATTACTTCCAAGTGCTCTTCCTCTTAGGAACACAGCCACAAAACCCCAGACAAGAAATCCTGAGGACAATAATAAGAAATCTCAATTTCAAATAAGTTCATCAATGAACAATATTAGTCCTCTGAGAACACCTGGTTATTC